AGTCACTGTGCGAAGCCCACATTTACGGAGTGAGGAGTTGGCTCCACATTATTGATGGCTGAGTGTCTACGTCAATTACTTGGAATCTTTTTGCAAAGGAGATTTCTATGCAACTTATTCACCTGTGTATACAAATACAGACACCTAGATAATTACTTTCAGCTTTAGTTATTATTCAACACTACAATTCATTCCTGTGTTGGCCATCAGTAGCTGTTTTTATTGGCTATTATTTTTCTTTGATATATTTTAATTTTTTTTAGTACTTACTTACTTACTTTCTGATACTTCAAGATTATCCCGACTCCTATATTTACTGTCCCAGTTCTAGTATCAGACATTTCTTCAAAGAGCCTGATTCCTTTCAGAATGGTAGGAAAACTTACATCTGGCTGCCGAATGAGCACATGGTTGAATGAGCACTTGTTCCTCATTAGCAATGCTAGGAAGTATATGTGTGTGTGTAACCTACCTATACACACCTAATCATAAAGTTTTCTATGTAGAACTGTGTGTATCTATATTAAACTAAACATAAGTTTACGTTCATGTCTCCACCTCTGATCTACTATCACATGAATCATTCTAGCCTTCTCCCCTTGCTAATTTGTAACCTCCCACTTCAACAGTGAGAGACCTGGTTCCTACCATCTGCAACTTATGTAAGTCATTCTTTTATTCCAGATACAGATATTGTGGTTTTACAATTGTTCACAATTGCTTCTGTTGGAAAGAACTTTATAAAATAGAATCCAGTGATGAAGTATAGTTCGTTTGCCTTCAGCATATGGATTCTATTCATTTTCAAAGTGACTTAGGTCAACACCATTTTCCCTACACCTTCAGTGAGTTTTTTCCTACATTTTTGTATTAGTCTGTTTTGTGCTTCTGTAACAGAATACCTGAGGCTGGGTAATTTATAAGTAAAAAAGGTCCTTTTGGCTCACAATACTGGTGGCTGGAATGTCTGAGATTGGGCAGTTGCATCTGGTGGAGTCTCAGTCTTTTTCACCTCATGGTGGAAAGTGGAAGGGGAGCAAGGGGTGCACCAGAGATCACATAGCAAGAACGAAAGCAAGAGGGAAGCCAAGGGACCCAGACTCTTGTTAACTACCTACTCCTGCAGGAATTAATCCATTCCTGTGAGAGCAGAACTCACTCATCCCCATGGAGGACATTAACCTATTCATGAGGGATCCGTCCCCATGACCCAAACACCTTCCACTAGGCCCCACCGACCCACACTGCCACATTGGGGGTCAAATTTCAACACGAGTTTTTGCAGGGACAAACCACATCCAAACCATAGTAATTTGTAGCATAGTTAAATTATTTTTCACATAATGTATTCTGTCCTGGGATACTCCACATCCTGAGTAATTTTATTTAATTTGAATAGAGTTTGATTTACCCATTTGGTTGTAAAATTCTGCGTATTTTGACCAATGCATTGTGGTAGGTACCCACTATTAAAGTATCATATGGAATGCTTCAAACCCCCACCCCATGGAGCCAATGGTTTCCCATCTGTGTAGTTTGCCTTCTGCAGTGTCTCATTAAATGAGGTCACACTGTGTGTATTCTCCTCAGACTGTCTTCTTCCACTTAGCAATGTGCATACAAGATTCACTCATGTCTTTGTGTGAGTTGATAGCTTGTTCCTTTCTATGGCTAAATAGTATTCCATTGCATGAATGTACCACAGTTTGGTTATGCATTTTGGGGAGCAAAACCTTCCTCTTCTAACTTTGTTCCAGGGTTGGAGACCTTCAAATTAACTGACAATAGATACATTAGTAGGAGAGACAATACTTGGCTTCTTATTCCACAAGTATCATTGTGGGACAAAATTCATCAGATGGCAGGATCCAGTTTACAAAGAGGTAAAAATAGCCCAAAAACAAGAAACAAGACTAGAATCTGATAACCCACAATAGCTATAGCTTTCCTTAAAAAAATTTTTTTTTCGAGACAGGGTCTGGCTCTGTCACCCAGGCTGGAGTGCAAACGTGCAACAATCTCAGCTCACTGTAACCTCTACCTCCTTGGTGCAAGTGATCTTCCCTCCTCAGCCTCCTGATTAGCTGGGACTACAGGCACATATCATATCTAATTTTTATATTTTTGGTAGAGACGGGGTTTCAACATGTTGCCCAGGCTGATCTTGAACTCCTGGCCTCCCAAAGTGCTGGAATTATAGGCATGTGCCACCATGCCCGGCCAAGTTATAGTTTTCCATTGAAATATAAAATTTCTCTCTGTAGTAACCATCATTTTTGATGATAATCAAAGTAAGACTATTCTTGTTTTAAAATTAAGTATAGTTTTGTTAGATTTTGCTTGATTATTTACGTAAGTGCAGCAAGAACGGGAGATGACCACATAGGTGCTTTCAAGTTTCTTTGCTGGAAGTTTTCATACAGAATCTCAGATTTGACTTTTAAAGGCCTTATTCAGGCTAAAAACCAAGCTAAGAACATACTGTCAAATTTCAGCTGCAGTACTTATAGCTTTGTGTGAATTCCTCTCTTCTTGAGGCCCCCAAAATATCCCTAAATTCCTGGGCCTACCAGGAAATGACCTTTACTAACCTGTAAGGCTGTGAACCCTGTAATGTAAGTATCAGGCTGACTTTTCTCAGAGTGCTGTTGGGAGTGAAGTTTTGGTGTTCCAAAAAACAAAAAAAAGAATTAACATGGGAACAAATAATCTCTTAGCAAGGCGAGCTTTACTTTCTGCAGAAAGGGTGCTACTCAGTAGCTGTCCAGCCACAAGAGCACACCGAACAAAGGAGACAGAGTTACTTGTAACCTGATGTGTCTACCCTACTGCTGTGTCCAGTTACCATTGGCTGAAATAGGACCTCACATTTTACACTTTACCCAGTTGGCTATTAGTTTAAAACTTTCTTAATTAGGTAAAGGGAATAGAACAAAGAAGGAAAAGGAAGTTGCCAGGGATAGTTAAGGAAGCATCTCCAAATAAGGAATGGCATATACTATGGGTTGGGGCTTGTCTAGTTCTGTCCAGGCATGCCGGAGCAAGCTAGGACAACTGATTTGGAACACACACACACACACACACACACATAAAAATAGTGGATAGCAATCTTATAGTAAGAAATTGTGACTTTTTACAATCTTTGAAGAAGAACTTTCCCATTTCTCACAGTACTTTGTAAGCATTGTCTCCATAATAGTCAACCTTACTTCCTTAAAATTGCTGGTCATAACTGATCTTAGGTACACTCCCAAAATATGATATTCCACTAAAAACTTTGATAATATAACCAAATTTTCCAATTATTTCCTGTTATAAGGTGAACAGATTCTTACTGGACTTTTAGCAATAACTATATCATCATGAAAATAAGAGTATTCAGTAAGAATTTCAAAATTCTGGAGAGATTAGGCAGGGAGAAAAAGATAAATGCTTCATTTCTGTTTAGAAAAGTATAATCTACTAAATTGTAAGTTACAGTTAGATTAAGAGAAAGAGATTTCTTAAATTCAGAAACTAGAACACTAAAGAACCAGCAATGCTCTAAAAAGCTATAAAATTATAATCAATTTTCATCAGTTCATTCAGTGCCATGTAATCAATTCCAATCTTGCTGGATCTTGGGTTACCAGTCTCGTGACCCCATCAATTTCTCCACCAGGCTTCTGGAGATCTTCATTGAGTCAAGTGTATGGTCTTAAAGTTATTTAAGCAATATCATCAGAAGTCTTTAACCAGAGTACCTGTCATACTCTTTTCCGTGAGTCTCAGAGGGAGTCCTGTATTGGAGATGAACATTCTGACCTGTAGCTGATCGCAGGAGCTTTCAGGAAAGCATCAGGGGGAAATAATATCTAAATGACAAAGAGTATGAAATGGCTGTGATTATACCACAGTTGACAAGGATATTTGCTTTTTTCTGTGGCATACAATATTTGTTTGTTTGTTTGTTTATTTATTTATTTATTTATTTGGAAACAGAGTCTCGCTCTGTCACCCAGGCTTGAGTACAGTGGTGTGATCTCGGCTCACTGCAAGCTCCGCCTCCCAGGTTCACGCCATTCTCCTCCCTCAGCCTCCCGAGTAGCTGTGACTACAGGTGCCCGCCACCACGCCCAGCTAATTTTTTGTATTTTTAGTAGAGATGGGGTTTCACCGTGTCAGCCAGGATGGTCTTGATCTCCTGACCTTGTGATCCACCCACCTCGGCCTCCCAAAGTGCTGGGATTACAGGCATGAGCCACTGCACCCGGCACAACATTTAAAATAATAATTGGAATTATGACTCGTAACTCTATACTGGCACATAGCATGGATAAGGAGGACATTGACAAATTTCCAGGAAATTTTACATAATTTCTGAAAACATAACATTTTAGCCATACAAATATAACACAGGGAAGGTTAGATATCTCTTTTTATTTGTATCTTTTGTAAGGTTTTGCTTATAAAAAATACATCCTACTTGTGAAACATGCCCTACTTTTCTTGCATGCTTTCCATAGATTTGTTTCTAGTTATTCTATTGCTTCTAGTAGTTTTATTTACACATATTGATTATAATTTTAATACTTAGTAATCTTTTATTTTCCAGAGAAAACTAACAAGTAAACAGTTATAAACTGTCATATATTAGCATTCCATAGTAGGTTAGAAAATGTATGAGTATACCATCTCCCAACATCTACAGGGATGTGTTTCCTCATCATACAATTTCTCATTGTGGTAGTACAAAGCATGTTTATTAATGGTCCAAAATATCTTTAGTCTCTCTGTAAAAATAAGAAGCGAAAAGTATATAAACTTGAATTATTTATGTTCAGTAATTAATGTTTTAGTACTGTATCTTATTTATAAATGGTCTAGATATTTAATGCAAAACTTTTACTTAGCTTAACTTTAAGGTTAAAAATTACCAAAAAGTATTTTGGAAACTATTATTAAGCAGATTTACAGTAAACAAATTATTTTTGCAATAATGTTTTTTCGCTTTTCACAAGATGGCACCGAAAGTGAAGAAGGAAGTTCCTGCCCCTCCTAAAGCCAAAGCCAAAGCCAGAGCTAAAGCTTTAAAGGCCAAGAAGGCAGTGTTGAAAGGTGTCCACAGCAACACATAGAAAAGAAGATCCACATGTCACTCACTTTGAGGTGGCCCAAGACTCTGCGACTCCGGAGGCTGCCCAAATATCCTCAGAAGATCACCCCCAGGAGAAACAAGCTTGACCACTATGCTATCATCAAGTTTCCGCTGACCACTGAGTCGGCCATGAAGAAGATAGAAGAAAACAACATGCTTGTGTTCATTGTGGATGTTAAAGCCAACCAGCACCAGATCAAACAGGCTGTGAAGAAGCTCTGGGACATGGATGTGGCCACAGTCAACATCCTGATTCGACCTGATAAAGAGAAGAAGGCATATATTCGACTGGCTCCTGATTATGATGCTTTGGATGTTGCAACAAAATCAGGATCATCTAAACCGAGTCCAGCTGGCTAACTCTAAATATATGTATATCTTTTCACCATAAAAAAGAAATAATGTTTTTCATAAGAATGACAACTTAATTAGAATCAAATTTATAAGCTTTAAGATTTTACGTTTCTAGTAAGTATAATATTAGCTTATTTGAGTAGAACTCAAGCGGAATAGGAATTTATGTTTGTTTTATATTCAATAGTGGTAACTTTGAAGACATAGTTGTTTTATTACACCAAAAATATTATATTAACCTTATTTAACTAAGTTGTATCCAAATCGTGTTAACTTAACATTTGATCAGTTCCTATATTTCTAGGAGTTTGGTGAATATTTATTTATAAATGCTTATTTTTTTCCAAGCCAAGTTAGAATAAAGCACTTTTAAAGGATTTTAAAAATGAATTTTGCAACGCTATCCTGAGTTAAGAAAATATCACATATACATAACACACATTAATAGACATACCAACACAAATAGAGATTTCATAGCTTTTATCCTGAAATTTCAACCATGAATCAGGCATAAATATTCTGACGGTTAATTTTAGACATCTACTTGATTGGATTAAGAGACACACATAGCTGGTAAAACACAATTTCTGGACATATGTGTGAGGGTGTTTCTGGAAGACACTGAGGTAACCCTGACCCAATGTAGATGGGCACAGATATGATTTGGCTGTGTCCCCACTCAGATCTCACTTTGAGTTGTAGTTCCTATAATTCCTACATGTCGTGGGAGGGACCCAGTGGGAGGTGATTGAATCACGGTGGTGGTTACTGCCATGCTGTTCTCATGATAGTGAGTGAGTTCTCATGATCTGATGTTTTTATAAGGAGCTTTTCCCGTTTGGCTCAGCACTTCTCCTTGTTGCTGCCATGTGAAGAAGGACGTCTTTGCTTCCCCTTCCACCATGATTGTGAGGCCCCTCCAGCCATGTGGAACTGTCAGCCCATTAAACCTCTTTGTCTTTATAAATTGCTCAGACTCAGGTATTTCTTCATAGCAGTGTATAAATGGATGAATACAGGCACCATCCAATTTGTTGAGAACCCAGATAGAACAAAAAGAAAGAGGATAGGGGAATTATCTCATTCTGAAATGGAAACATCCTTCTTCTCCTGCCCTTGACATCAGAACTTCAGGGTCTCAGGCCTTTGGCCTCAGAATGAGAGTTACATCATTGGCTTCCCGCATTCTGAGTCCTTTTGACCTGGACTGAGCCATGCTACGCTTTCCTAGTTCTCCAACTTGGAGATAGGCTATCGTGGAACTTCTCAGCCTCCATAATTATGTGAACCAATTCCCCTAATGAGTCTTCTCTCATCTATCTATCTACATATATCACATTGATTCTGCCTTTCTGGAGAACCCTGACTAATGTGATTACAATAATACAAAATTCACTAGTTTATACAGAAGACTTGGTTTTTGTCTTTGCCCCATTTTATATTTGTATTATAACTGTGTTTCTGGAAAATGGAACAAGTTTTTACCTTCTTCATATGAGGGCTAAAGCTTTTTTCTCGCTAATACTTTTGGAGATTTGTAAGATTTTCTTTTGTTTTGACATACAATCTTACGGAGGCTGAGAAATAATTTTTTTTTTCTGTTTTATTTTTCAGCCCCAGGTGTTTGCTTTTGCAGATTCTTGAGCATGTTGAGAGCCTCCAAGGCATGGAGCAGAGTGCCTAAAGTTTCAGTGATTATAGGGAGTTGAGAGACTCAAATGGGAAGGGAAAGGTCTAAAAGGAGGCAGTTTGGAAGGTAAAAATTTTCTCAAAGGAGCCATTAAAGTTCTAAATAATTCTTATTCTTAGTAAAGTCATGCAAACAGGAAAGGAAGTAGACAGAATTAGCTCCATATTGGTGGAACACACAGTCAGCAGAGGTTTGAGAAGGGAGAACTTAGTCAACTGAGAAGTTCCCATGAAAGGAGCAAGATCAAGATCACAGAGACACCATGAAACAAAAAGTCAGGAATAACTTCCAACCCAGGAGGAGAACACAGAGACCTCAAAACCAAAGCTAGGATAAGAAACTTGTAGCCCAAGAGTTACCTTCCAGACAAAGAAGCCTGATATTCCAACCCAGCTTCACAGAGTACTCACTCAAAATGTTAGTGAAACTGTAGGCTTTTCAATGACTTAGACATGCATGCAAAAGGCATTCCTTAAGGTGGTACAGAAGATGGAGCCCCCATATCCAAAGATAGCCAAGGAGAGAGAAAGACCCCTGTTGGTAGAGCCTGTGGGCAAAGGCAACAGAAAAGGAGACAAGAATCCTAATGGGATGAGATCCTTTCAGATTTAGGCTTATACAAACTCTTGAGAATTGGCAGGTTGACAGCCATAAATGGGGTACCAACTTTTCTACTCATTGGACTACAAGTTCTTCAGCATCCAAAATGATTAACAAAATGACAATTTCTAGGTTTTGGGAATAGGAAGGTCTTTTCTTTTAATTGTCAACAGAGATATGATTCATAATTTGAGGAATTTATTTATTTTTTTTTTTTTTTGAGATGGAGTTTCACTCTTGTTACCCGAGGCTGGAGTGGACAATGGTGGTGGATCTCGGCTCACTGCAACCTCCACCTTCTGGGTTCAAGCGATTCTCCTGCCTCAGCCTCCCAATTAGCTGGGATTACAGATGCCTACCACCAAGCCTGGCTAATTGTTTGTATTTTTAGTAGAGACAGGGTTTCATCATGTTGGCCAGGCTGGTCTCAAATGCCTGACCTCAGGTGATCCACCTGTCTTGGCCTCCCAAAGTGCTGGGATTACAGACATGAGCCACCACACCCAGTGAGAGATTTATTTCCTAGAAAGAGTTGCAGCCTGCAGGATTGTCCTTCTCACAGACTAGGAAGCATAGCCTCCAGCCAGAAGCCAGAAACAGATGCTTCAAGGGAGATGTAAAGGAAATAGTAATTTATGCTGAGTGGAATTGGCAAAAACATATATTTAATAAACTCTAGGAGGAGTCATGAATATTTATGAAAGGAGAAATGCATGCTTGTGCAATTGAGTTTCTTGCTTCTTCATGGGTCCCATGTACAAAAAATGGCAGTGTTAGCACGATCCCAGGGTAGAGTTTTCAGCCCTCTGACCTTAAAAGGTGAAGCAGAGGACATGAAAACTCGCTCTGTGCATCCTCTGTACACAGGCCAGAACCTCTCCGTCATGGGTGGTCTCTTACTAGGCAAGAAAGGAGAGGTTGATATCAGTGGCAGTGCCTTTGAAAGGGCTGGTTTCTGTTTAATCCATAGGGAAGAAAGCCTCATCATGGTTAGCAAACGAGGGAGTACAACAAGGTGTATCTGACCCCCATTATCCCATCCTGGCTAAGGTGAGAACTCAGTTTTGAAAGTTACTCTGGGGTTCCCTCAGCCAACAGTTGGTCTGTTCAGTCAGTTGGGAGCTTAGGATTTCATTTTCATTTATCAATGCTAATGGGAAAGAGTGCACTGTCTTCATGGCAGCTGAATTTGCAAGAAACTCCTTGGATGGAGTTAATGGCAGCTGTATTTTTCTGGGAGCTCTGCTGTAATTGGATAAAGTAAGTTCTGGTAAGATTTCTTCCTTTATTTTCAGTATCTCAAATGTTTTCATTTAAATAATCCTATTAAGAACTCTTGATGTCTGAGTGGATTCCCACACAGTCATCTACTATAAGACTTGCTGATTCTTTTTTTCGTTTGGTCATTATGAATAGAGCTTCTGTAAATAATTGCATGGTAGCTTTTATTTAGAAATAACATCAAAGTAGTTGTCAAAATACTTAGGAATGTGATTTTTGGATTGTAAGGTGAGACTTGTTTAGCTTTGGAAAAAACTGCCCAACTTGTAATAGGGGAGGACAAATAATTTTCTGTGTTTTGGAATTCTTAGATGGGACCCTCTGTAACAAATGACAGATTAAAATGAGAAAAACAGAAAAGTTTAAAAACTTGTATACCTTATTGATAAGACTCTTTAGTGATATAGTTATCCTTCTGTTCTTGGTGCTGAGAGAGAGAGGTAGCTTTTAAATGGGAATTTCCTTTATAGATGTAAATTTTCCTTACACAAGGGTAACTTCTACTCTGTTTTCAGAACTTCCTTTGTTGGCATTTTTTTCAAAATAATTAGCTTGGAATAATTCTTAAGCCAAAGGGACATATTTTTGGGTGGCATATTCTGGTTTCCTGCCATTATATTTTAGGGTGGCATATTTTGGTGTTATACACTGTGTTCCACCAGCAATGAAAACAGTTCTTGTTTTTCCTCCAGCAATTTGTCATTTTTTAAAGAGTTTAGCAGTTCTAACAGATATAGACCAACTTTGCTATCTCATTGTGGTTTTCAGTTATCTACTATGTTGAGCATCTTTTGGTATGTTTACTTGCCTTCTGTAGATCATCTTTGGTGAGGTGTCTGTCCAGATATGTGCATTTTTAATTGGGCTGTTTAACTTATTGTTCAGTTTTAAGAATTTTGTATGTATTTTGAATACAAATTCTTTCTCAGATCTGTATTTTGCAAATATTTTTTTCAATACGTGACTTATCCTTTTGTTCCCTTCCCAAGGTATTTTCCAGAGTATTAACTTTAAATATTAAGAAATCCACATTGTCATTTCTTCTGTGTATATCAACCTTTTGTGCCATTTGTTAAAATTCATTACCAAACCCAAAGGCACATAGCTTTTCTTCTCTAGTTTCTTCTAGAAATTGTATAGTTTTGCATTTTTAGTGTAAGGATGATTTTGAGTGATTATTTGTGTAAGTTGTAAAGTTTTCATCTTCATGCATATCATTTGCTATGGTTTCCAATTCATTGTTCCCTCACTATTTCTGGGAAAGACACAGGATAGTGGGCTCTGTTAGAGTAGATAGACAGCTAGACATGAACAGGAGGTTGAGCTCCTGGAAAAGGTAAAGTCTGGGAAGGCTCACCTGGAGGGACCACCAAAAATTCACATATTAGTAGCATCTCTAATGCTGGAGTGGATGGGCACTTGTCAATTGTGGATAGGAGGGAGAAGAGGTACCTATGCAGAAAGAAACACCCTAGAACTCCTCTTAAGATGCCCCAGTAATCATTCACTCTGCAGTAAAAATGTCACAATATTGGTAGCTACATGCTGATAAGGACAAAGGGGACATTCTTAAAAGAAACCTGGCACCATAAGTACAGATTAGGGCAGAGAAGGACATTCAAAAGAGATGGGCGCAGTAGGTACAAATGTGACTGCTGTCAGCCTGCCTGGATGGTGGGAAGGAGCCTGGTGCCAGAGTGG